ACCGCGGAATCAAAAATACCCGGTCAAAATTCTCCAGAAAATAATCAAAATGTGCACACTCGGCACCTCAGAAACATACCAAAAGTTACGCGGTAAAAACTGAACCAATCGGAAAATACGGACGAAATTCGCTAACAAAAACAAAATCCGGACAGAAAAGTCGTTCAAATTGCACCGTTCTGAAAATTGAGAAAGGAGGAATGTGCCTTACCTTGCGTACACCACTTTCCTGAACAGTCACGACGGACGAAAACAGCCTGGCGTCGCCCGAAAATCAACTTTTCCAAAATTGCCCTCGACCTTCTCTCTCCTCAGCTGAAATTTGAGATATTTTATGATTTTCTCTCTCTTCAAAACGACTGATTTCAGCTTTAAAATACACAGATCGGCCCGGCCGATAGCACGATCGTTCTGGACGATCTGAACAAATCTGCATCGTCCTGGGACGATTTCTCAGGACGATAATTAATTTTCAGGACGATTTGCTCTCTGACTTTTGCCATACACTGATCGTCCCGAGACGATCCCAGATCGGCCCGTACGATCCCTACAGGAAATCATTCATGGAACTTCTGTACAGAATCTGGAACAAAAGTTGCACTGATCGTCCCGGGACGATCCAGATCGGCCCGGACGATCCTGGAGTAAATTTTGATATTACATGTCGTATGCTGAAAAGTCTCTAATTGCTCAAAGCAACATTGCTCTCAATGTAAAACTTTATTTAATGGTGATATCATATGTAGTATAATATGTATATAGTAACTCATTCATTCCACAATAAATTCAAGTCATTGATTAAAGGTTGTAAGAACACATATATCTTTGTTTTTGGATTATGTGGGCCTTAAATAATAAGGGCCAGAAACATGTAGGATGTAGTCATACACAACTCTCGAGGAAGATTAGATGTGGTGCGTATCATGGACCAGCATAAGTAAGGTGAGAAAGATTGGCTAAATGGAGTAAAACCATCTACATGTAAACCTAATCATACATTCCTAGGTTCTGTGATGAATTATAGAATGCCCTCTAACAATAGTAATAAATATGATCGTTAATGTTAAAATTATAGTAATATTAAAAATTTATTTTACTTTCTAGAACTTCTTCTAAGTTTGGAAAGGTAATAAAAATAAATGAATTTAAAATTTTAAAGACAAATAGTAATTTTTAATGGCAAATATTAAATATGTGAGAAAGGTTGCCATTTAAATGTCCGTTTAAATTAAAGAGTAATGTAATCAATAAATTAATAAAATTAAATTGTAATAATTTCCCCTTTAAAAGATAATAATAATTTATTAGCATAACAATGGCATTAAATTGTAATTTAACGTAATAGTTAAGATATTTTTTTTGCAGGACATAATATGAAATACCAACTCACGAAAATTTAAAATATAATTGATATATCATTCAAAATTTATCTTGGTTAGGCACGAATCTCGAGGCAAAATTAAATTGGAAACATCAAAATTAAAATCAGGACCATCTGAACTTCGATTCCAGCAAATTTATAGTCGAATTGAACATCTATAAAGTACGAACCAAACAACATCAAATTCGACCCAAACTAAGCTCAAATGGATCCAAATCAAATACCCGAAGCGTATTTGGAAGGTTCAAATCATAATTTAGATTATCAAATAGTTTGCAAACGTCATGTGCTTAGTTGAATCGAGTACCTTGACAAGACAAATCCAAGGAGCCAAGATCGCCAAATTCTTATATCATTGTAACATTCAAATGTCTACTAAATGGCCTGTGATCAAGAGAATCAACATTGACCGTCCATTCAAATCACTAGTAATTTGCCCTTAAACTTCCTCCTATTTATTTTTCATGTCACTTTCAGAAAATTATAAACAAACTTCTCATTTCTCATGAGGGAGGACCCAAGCAAAAAGAGAAGGAAGAGTTCTCTTGCCTCTAGACTCCTCCTCAACCACTGTCGAACTTCAGCCCGGTGACCGACTGTCACAATATTTTCGCCTGACTACCGAATGATGTTGGATTTCTTCCTGGTTATTGACTGATGTTGGATTTTTGCTCGATTATCCACTGTTGCCGGATTTCTACCCGGCCACCAACCGAAACTGGATTCCTACCCGACCACCAACTGGCGCCACATTTCTGCCCAGCCACCAACTGATGCCAGATTTTCTTAGCCACCGACTTATGTCAGATTTCTACTGGGCCACGAACTGATGCAGAATTTATACACAGCCACCAACTGATGTCGGACATTCACTCGACCGCCGACTAATGCCAAATTTCCACCGGCTTCAAATTATTCTTGGACTTTCACCCAACAACAGTCATTCCGACCTCCGTCACCAAATAACGTTCTTTACGACCTTCGTTACCTGTTAGTTATAGTCTCTCCGACCTCTATCGCCCGCCAAACAATGGTCCTTCTGACCTCCATTGCACAAAAACTATGGTCCTTCCAACCGCCGTTACCAGAATACAGTCTTTCTGACCTCCGTCACCTGCCGACTATGATCTTGCCGGCCAAACTAACATATCAATGCATATTCTTCTAAATTCCATCGTTTAATACATTATATATGATTTATATTTGTCACATCAAGCTAACACCTTCCCTCCAAAGAATGACCTCATGTGTAATCAACTGCAAATACTAGTGGATTCTTTCAAATTGGGCTAGGCCCCATGGTTTTTACCCTTTTTAGAATTTTTCACATAAAAATTTTGGTGTCTTTTATAAATAATGCACACTCTCACTTATATGATTGTGTCCAAGATTTTCGTGCAAAGTTAAGCCGTTAAACTTTATATTTCTCTATCGCCATGAATATTCGAGGCGCAACAATAATAAATTTCTTTATGATTTCAAGTTTTATTTGACAATTTATATAAATTAAATGTAAAATTGAATGATTTCTTAAAGTATTTTTTCATTGTGGGCTTACATGTGAGGTGACCAAAAATAAAAACCATGAAAACTAATTTGAGACTTAAGCTCCTCTCTCTGTGTCTCTGTCTCTTATCTCGCGTAATTCCGTCACATCAATACCGGTTTTCAGATCTCGTTGGTGCAGCTTATCTTTTCTCATTATCTTATTTAACAATAAGAGCTCAACTACCCTTTTGCCCCACACCTACTGCAATAAATAACCCCATCAACTCTACCAGCTGGTTTTATGGCTACACATAGGCAACCGAAAGCAAATGACCCTATCTTCCTGTTATGATTAATGAAAATAACACACCAACCACTCGTCCTCTCTCTAAAAGAGATCAAGTCAGTGTAGCAAGTCACAGATCTACCATGCCATCCTTCAATAATCAATAAGAAGAGTAGAACACTCCTTCCATCACTTCCTTCACTTCACCATATAGCAAAGTCCTCCTCCATGTTTTCCTATCAAAAACTGAAGCATGTTGAAGACAGAGAATATGAGGAGCTCGTTATAGTAAGGAAGAATATAATCGGCAACGGTCGTCAAGGAAGGAGATGGGGGAGGAGCGGGTGGAGCTGGAGGCGGCCTAGAGTCCGAGTTGCTGGGCTGCTACGAAGAGTTGTGAGGGGGAAGGCCGCAGCAGTCCGAGCTGCAATGCGAGCATCGTTGAAGAAGATGATGATAAGGTTGAAGGAAGGAAAGCCATATATTGGCGAGCTTTTCGCCGGCAACTACATGTTCATGCAGGTGAACCCATCTGTTGCCGTATCATATTTGGACAAGTCTCTAATTCCAACCACAAGGCTTCATAATGCCTATGCAGTCACTCCAAGGATTGCTTTTTAGTTAATAACAAGTTTGTTGTTTGCTTCGTTTCAGATTTTTCTTTGATATCGCCTTATTTTGAGTCTTTGTTTAGTGTATTAAAAAAAAAGTTTAAAATAGTTGTGCTGAAACGAAGTGAAATAAATGTTTGGTAACGTTCGTTAATTAGCAATAATACTGTTACCTGTTTTAATGGATCATGAACTTGTTTCTTCTGAAACAAATTTACTTGTGGTTTTATTCTTGTTCTTTGTTTTAGATATATTTGATGGGGATAATGCACTTACTGAATGTGCTTCTTATAACTGTTTGTAAATAGGAATTACGTTTTTTTTTTTCCGCTGGATTTAAGAAAGATTTCGCATACATTTGTCGAAACAAAAAATCTATAGAACCTTGTATCCTAGCAATTTTGATAAATCCTGATTCAATTTCATTAATGATCAAAATTATAATTTATTTAATCCTTTTATTAAAAAAATAGATATAGGAATTTTTCTCATCACAAAATTTAAATCGGTCATAAAAAGGTAGTAAAAATTTTCTAAAAAATTAGGAATCAGATTCAAGTTTGTCTTTGGGTGATACCCGATCTTACTAATAGGCAAGCTCTAAGCAATACAACTTTAGAACTTATGTAAAAATGAAGATAAGGTGGAAATTTATTTAGAAATGATCTATTAGCCTAAGTTTTCATAGAAAAAATTAATAGTCTCAAAATAGTCATCAACACCTTTTATTTATAGGGATCACAGTTTTATAAGAAATGCTACATCAATAAAAAATAATAACTATAGTAATTAACTACCCTTGGTTTAGACTGCCTTACACACATGTCATATCCTAGTAACTCAATGGATGGCCCACTACCAAAAAATAGCTAACTTTTGCAGCGGTTATAACCGGTACAAGTAACCAGATTTGTGCCGGTTAAAACCGATGCAAATGCTTCCAAACTGAACATGTTTTTATAATTGTGGCGGTTTTAACCGGTACAATTCTAGTACTTTGTACCGGTTTAAACCGCCACAAAAGATCAATTTTTTTTTTTAATTTCAAAACTTGAATGTCTACACAGTACTGCCGCACAAAATTTAATTGCAAGGGTCCTTAAATTTTCTGCAATCATCAGCATCATCAGCAGCATTTAGCCTTCATAATCATGAGTAGGGTGGGAAAAAAATTACTACACATAACAATAATAATAAATCAAAATCTAATACATTGAAAAAATTTTATCAGAATGCAACCCTTGGTTATATTCTTCTCAATCAACACTTATACTAGACTCAAAAGGAATCACGTATCCAAATTGTATTCACAATATTGCAAATTGAAATCTAAAATTTATTGAGTGAAAATTATATACATTTGATTATATGTTTATAAACATATCTTATCCTTAATATCATAGTCTACTTATTCCTGGTAGTGGATAGGATCGCAATGTCAATATATATCATACAACAAAAACGAATAATTGTTATAGCAATGGTTTCTGCAAATTAATGTTAGTTTCATTTAATGTTATATATACATCAACACTCATACGCCGCAAATTAATGTTAGTTTCATTTTCAATTGAGTTAAAGCAATGGTTTATGCAAGTTAACCCATGTTTTGTGGAGAAATTATCAAGCGTGGAATCTAGACATAACTCGCATTTGAGCTCCCCAATGAAACAAAGCCACATGATTTGTGCGCACCCTGCATACAACTTGTACACTGGGTGTGTATAAATAGAATTTACACACCCTACATACAACTAGCAAATTAGACCTTGAAGAAGTGAATTCATTGCAGTGCCTTCCATATTATGTCCTTCACTTCCATCAAGTTCTTAATAAAAAAAAATAATACAACAACAACAACTCAAGCCTTTATCCCACTACGTGGGGTCGGCTACATGAATCCTTTTTCGCCATTGTTTCCTATTAAAAGTCAAATTCTCGTTTAAATATACTAAAGAAAGGTCATTCCTAATATTTTCTAACCAAGTCTTTTTCGGTCTACCCCTACCTTTCTTAACATAAGTCAAATCTAATACCTCTACTCTCCTAACCGGGTTATTGGAAGGCCTTCGTTTTATGTGACCAAACCATCTAAGGTGACTCTCTCAAATCTTATCCTCTACTGGAGTTACTCTAACCTTTTCACGTATATGCTCATTTCGTATCCTATCTCTAAGGGTAAAGCCACTCATCCACCAGAGCATCCTCATCTCTGTCGCACTTAATTACTTAGTATTATGCTTCTCTTTTAATGGCCAACATTCGGCACCATAAAGCATTGCATGCCTCACTACCATCTAATAATAATAATAATAATAATAATAATAATAATAATAATAATAATAATAATAATAATAATAATAATAATAATAATAATAATAATAATAATAATAATAATAATAATAATAATAATAATAATAATAATAATAATAATAATAATAATAATAATAATAATAATAATAATAATAATAATAATAATAATAATAATAATAATAATAATAATAATAATAATAATAATAATAATAATAATAATAATAATAATAATAATAATAATAATAATAATAATAATAATAATAATAATAATAATAATAATAATAATAATAATAATAATAATAATAATAATAATAATAATAATAATAATAATAATAATAATAATAATAATAATAATAATAATAATAATAATAATAATAATAATAATAATAATAATAATAATAATAATAATAATAATAATAATAATAATAATAATAATAATAATAATAATAATAATAATAATAATAATAATAATAATAATAATAATAATAATAATAATAATAATAATAATAATAATAATAATAATAATAATAATAATAATAATAATAATAATAATAATAATAATAATAATAATAATAATAATAATAATAATAATAATAATAATAATAATAATAATAATAATAATAATAATAATAATAATAATAAAGGTTCTTAATAAGTATTCCGCTCCAAAAACAACCAGACCTTCCTCTTACTTTGTAAATATTTTGGGAATATTATATAACAGATTCATAAAATAGCAATATGGCATTCTGACCCAGTTCTTCATATCTAAAATCATTGTTTAAAACTTCTATACAATGCTTTTCATCAAAGCTTAAATTCAAAATTGCACCGATGACCTTTATGGGAATAGATATCTAGAAATCTTTTTAACTCACTCCAATTTTGGATTTCTACGATGAGTAATTAAAAGTAAAATAAATCCCCATTGAGGCCCTCTCACTCCTTTCCTGCAGCCCACTGAGTTACAAAAATCTTACTTCCCAAACTTCTATAAGCCAAAGAGACGAGCACATTTTCTTATTTGATTTTGTCAAACGTGCAAATGTAATCCAGGGTATGAAATTATTGGACATAACTTCAGACATACAACTCCCTTAAAGTCCATCAAAGTGATTCCAAAACAGGCCTATTTTTTTAAGAGATTGCAACGTAACTGTAATGACTTTTTTCCCATCAAGTTTTAGGAAAAACAAATCTACATTTTAAGATCAAATTCTTGTCATTTCATCTTCTTGGACATGTTGCAAGAGAGTTGTCTTCCCCATACTGTCTCGCACCGCTGTGGCCCTCAAGCCTCTATTTCATGACACAAAGTTTAACTCCTGAACAAATCACCTGAAGACAACATAAAGCAATAACATGAAGCCTTCCACATCAAATCACCTAAAGTTTAACTCTTAAACAAATCACCAAAAGACAACATAGAGCAACAACACCAAACAGCCCCTAAGAGCAAGCATAATTCAGTAAAAGCAAAAATTCATCATTCATATATGGTAAAACCTGATAATCCCAAAAAGAGTAGAACATTCATCATTCATATATGGTAATCTACAATATTATAATTTTAAGCAACATCCCAAAATAGTAGACTTCCATACCAAGATGCATTTCAAAACAATTTGCACAAACATGGGTTATCTTCAAAACGGCATTCTCTTTCTTCTATAACATCATCTTTCGGAAGAAGTTTCATTGCCACCCTATAAATTATAAGAAGATTGTAAAATATTAGTATTCAAATAACCAACATTAAAATTAGAATGTGAAATTTTACATATCATTTGTGAGCTTCCTTGAGGTGGATGCTACATTCGAATTTCTTGCATGAATTGCCTCATTTTAATTTGTAATGAGTTGACCTCCTCTTTGAGATTTACTATTTGAATTAAATTGCTTCCAGAACTACTCGTGCCATGATTTTTGCTATATGGGAAATATCGTCTAGGTGTGACACCAAAACCTTGGGTTCTAACTCTTCCTGGGTGTCCCAATATCATTTCCTGGAATTTTCTACCCAGGTATTATAGATGAAAGGATAAAAGAATCATGTTTCATCCCAACCCAAGGTAGCATATTATATGGAACTAGAAGTACAGGCCAAATACTATATGTACTACTCATAATCTTGAATGGATTAAACCCATCACTAACCAAACCAAGACGAACATTATGTGGATCCAAAGAAAAATCAGGGTATTGAGAGTCAAAAGCTTTCCATGCTTCTCCATCAGCTGGATGTCGTAACAAGCCATCTACATTTCTATGTTTTGCATGCCAAATCATTTTTTCAGCAGATTTCTTTGTTTTAAAAAATCTTTGAAGTCTTGGAATTAATGGAAAATATCTGACTATTTTAGCTGACTTCATACGAGTTTTTTTCCTCCAGAAGTATTCTTCATTATAGTTGACCATCTTGATGCTCCACATATGTGACAAATATTTTGATCATATCTAGCTTTCCAAAATAACATTCAATCATTTGGACATGCATCTATCTTTGTATATCCAAGATCGAATGCTTTCATTATCTTCTTAACTTCGTATGTACTTTTAGGTAACAACGCCCCTTTAGGAAAGGCATCGACCAATAACTCAAGTAGCATATCAAATGATCTTGCCGTCCAAGAATGTAAACACTTCAAATGATATAAGTTCAATATAAAAGAAAGCTTTGAGAAGGTTTTACATCCATGGTACAACTCTGCTCCTGCATCCTGCATTAAATTTGAAAATTTCTCACTATGATCATTTTGTTCCTTAGTATTGAGCTCATTATGCTCCATCGCTGGATTTTGAAATGGATCATTTGGACATAGTATATCTCTTAAGAGTCCATCTATATCATCTATTCTTATATCCTCAGAAGGAGCTTCGCCTTCCTTTAACTTTGTTCT